AACAACGTCATCAGCTGCAACTGCAGCAGCAGCAGTATCAGCAACAACATCGGTCTAATATATATCGGGTCTAAATATAGACCAAAAAATGTTGAAGAACCTACATGCGTATCTGCATAGAGCAGGTATATACACCTGTGCATATGCGTATGTATACCTACACACATATACACACGCACACGCACGCACACATGCATGCACACACACTGATATCTATTTTTACGATGCAAAAATATAATTTGTGGATCGGATAATTGAATTAAAATGTCAATGTATTAATATCATGGCTGAACTTTTGAAAGGCAAACAAAACGACTGATGAAAATAAATTGAGAAAATTGAAAATTTATAAAATTTTTATTTACACAATTGAATGAATAAATATATGAATGATTTAATTAAACATTCTCTACACGTGCGTTTGAGTTGCGGTTAATTTTTAGTACTTTAGAATAAGTTAATTAGTTCATAGAAGAAATTTTTGTGGCATCTTAATAGATCGGGAAGAAAATTTTTGGACATTCGCTGATTAAGTTGTGTCGGCTCAGTGTGGAGTCAAAACTCATTCATCTATGTATTTCTTGAATTATTTATTTGTTTATCTATTTATCTATTTATTCATGTTATTTAGTTATGAATCAGCATGAAAAGAATGCAGAGAAGGGTTCAACTCTTAACTTGTGCCGGTTTTTATCGGCGTCAAGATGACAAAAAAAAACCATCAACTCTCTATTAACTAGCAATTGACTATTGACAATTAACTAGCAAAAACATTATCTCTACTCTATTCATTTAATCATTTATTTATTCATTTTTTCTATACTGTTTTCATTCACTCGTTCTTTTTTTCTTTCTTTCATTCATTTATTTATTTTTTTACAAACGAATTCTATTCAAAATATTTTCACGCGTCGTTAAGAGAAGACAGCTCGTTTGTAAGGATAGATGTTGTAGGCATGGATGGATGGTTAGATAGATAGATGGTTACTAAGATAGATAGATGAATTAAAAAGTGAAAAGTTGAATGAACAGATATATAGATAGATATAGATAGATAGATATAGGTAAATAGGTAGGTAGATAGGTAGGTAGGTAGGTAAATAGATAGATAGATAGATTGATTGATAGATAGACAGATAGGTAGATAGATAGATAGATGGATGCAAGGATTGAAGAAATGAATGAATGACAAAAGATTGTTAATCCCATAAAGAAAGATGTTAACTTACCTACTTTACCTGACCGACTTTTGTCGAAGTGATTGTCCGCAAATACAAGAAAACGTGTCACTGAGTTTGTTTGTGTGTGCGTGTGTGCAAGTGTCAACGTGCGTGTGTGTGTGCACGCGCGTGTGTGTATGAGCTGTTTTCAATGTATCTCAGTGTTTTTTTATGAGACTCTGAACTGGGATTAGTTTTTTCTGCGGTAGTTATTTTTCTTGGTGTCTGCCTGTGTGCCTACCGTCCTGGAGCTATTAATAATTAAGATCACCTGATACATATTTTAACAATATTTGTATGTGGGTATGTGTATATATGTGTGTGTGTGTAAGAGAGAGAGAAAGAAAGAGAGAGAGAAAGAGAGAGAGAGAGAAAGAGAGAGAGAGAAAGAAAGAGAGAGAGAGAGAAAGAGAGAGTGTGTGTGTTTTTTATCACTAGATCTTGAGACAGAGTTAACGTACATGGTGTGTACAAAAAAATTCTCTCAAGTAATTCAGAAGAAAAAATCTGGTGAAAAATTTTTTAGTTTGAAAAATTTTCGAAAAAAATTAATAATTCATGCTTCAGTCACATGACAGATTTGATAACATGATTTTTTTCCTGTCTATTTTTAACCAAAATAACTAAAAAATTAAAAAAATTTTTGAAAAAAATTTCACCAATTTTTCAATTCTTTGTTTTTTGGACAGTATGAAGAAAAGAAAATTCTTGGAAAAACCGTATAAATATTTATAAAAATATATGTAGTTATAAAAAATTATGAATAAATATATATATATATAAATAATATTAAAAATCATCGTCATCATCAACATTGCTATCATCAGCATCCTATGTTGTGATGGGATGATAAACAACTTTTTCTTTAAAAAATTATTTTTATTACCATTATAAATGTCGTTAGTTTTTACAATTTAACCTTCAACCGACTGAGCAATCATTAATCATCATCATCATCAGCATCATCATCATCGTCATCATTATCAATACTTCGAGCATCAACCATAACCATTTAACCACCACCGTCATCATCATCATCATCGCGGGGGGGGGTGATTGCAATCAATGAAGAAACCAACAATCATCACCATCATTAACCTCATCGTTACTATCATCACCATCATCATCTTCATCACCATCATCATCACCATCATCATCGTCATCACCATCATCACCATCACCATCATCATCTTCATCATCATCATCATCGTCGTCAACATTTCAAACATCCTTTCACATCAGTTCTGTAAGCTTGTTAAGCCTATTTGTGGAGCCGGGCGTAAATAACTTCCATCCGTTTAACCATCTACCTATTCGTGCTACCTTTCATTCAACTATTTACACTTCTTTTCATTCGTTCATTCATTTGTTTGTCCGTTCATTCATTTATTTATCCACTCATTCATTCATTCGCTTGTTTGTTCATTCATTCACTAATTCATTCTTTTATTCATTTTTCGCATGTTCGTTCGCTTGTTTGTTTGCACCTTCCTTAATTCGTTCTTTCACTTTATCGTTCGTTCATTTAATTACTGATTCGTTTGTTCAATCATTCATTTATCAATTCATTAATTCACTCATTCATTCGTTCATTCATTCATTCGTTCGTACTTTACATTATTATAATCATAACCAAACACAACCGTCGTTATAAACATGAAGCATACAGAATCAGATGATTTACATTCCAAACATAAAAAAGGTGTCGCCTTTTGACATATAACCACCAAAATCATCGTCATCATCTTCATCATCATCTAGATCATTATCATCGTCCTCTTCTCAATCTCACCATCCAAACATTCTCACCACCATCATAATCATCGTCATCTTCTTCGTATTTAAAACCACCACACATGTCGGTGACCTCGGGTCAGATCAATTATCCAATCATATTACAGGCTTTTTGTGAACCGCACGCAAAAAACACACACAGACAAATACAAAAAATACTACACACATACAAACACACGTACACCCACACACACACACACACACAACATATGCAAACATGTACACACACAACATATACACACACG